ATGTCAGGGAATGAGGAAGGACTTTGAGTTTTGCTTGAAGCCTTATATAGAGGGTCACCTATTCATCATGGGTGTGGATGTTATTTGGGGTTTGGTCACATGAGATTGTTTGGAAAGAGAATGCACTATCCTCAGGAGCCAGGTGAGGGAGAGCAGGAAGAATCATAGAGAAAGGCAGAGCCCAGGAGAACACTGAGTACTGCTGAGGTACAGACTCAGAAGGCCTGGGGTGGGTGAGAGAGGGGAAGGGAGGAAAGGTGGTAGGTAGGGAGGGAGGCAGGCAGAGGGGGGCTGGAGTGGATAGAGGAAGTCTGTGTGAGGGAGGTGATGTATAGATGCCAGAGGAAAGGATCTAAGTCTGGGCTGGATCCCCATCTGAGCCCATCTGTCTCTCCAGGAACAGATCAAGCAAGGGGAGAAGTTATTGCAGCCACTGGTTGGCTGGGAAGCTGCTGAACTGGGGCCCCCTGGAAAGCGCTTTCTGACCCTGAGATCCCAGCTAACAGAATTTTCTAGAGCTTTGGCCCAGCAACGTCAACGGTTGGCAGATGCTGAGAAGCTGTTTCAGTTCTTTAAGCAGGTGGCTGAGGAGGTCCTATCCCTGACTTTGTGGAGGTTGCCCAAGAGTCTGGGTGCATCCTGTTTGGCTTACTTATTTTCTTATCCCAAAATTCAGCTTCTAGATTGTAGCCTGGGACCAGCCAGTGGGTGGGACAGGGAGCACAGCAGAAGTCACTGTAGGCTTGCTGGGGGTGGGGGTGGGGGTTCTGCTTTCATGTCTATGGCCTTGGTGTTGCAGGCCACAACATGGACTGAGGAAGGGCAGCGGGTACTGACAGAGCTAGAGCAGGAGCGCCCAGGAGTTGTGCTGCAGCGGCTGCAGCTGCATTGGACCAGACATCCTGACCTGCCCCCTGCCCACTTCAGGAAAATGTGGGCTCTTGCCACAGGCCTAGAGTCAGAAGGTATCCGCCAGGAATGTCGATGGGCCTGGGCACAGTGCCAGGACACCTGGCTGGCTCTGGATCAGAAGCTTGAGGCTGCACTGAAACCGCCATCCACAAACAGCACAGCTACCTTATGTGTCAGGCGGGCCCCTGCCACACCCACCATTCCTCCACTGAGGAAGGCCTACAGCTTTGATCGGAATCTGGGGCAGCATCTTGGTGATGCTGCCTATCATGGCCACTATGCAGCAGTTGTTACTGACTCTCACAGACCTGAGACTGGAGGAGGTGTCCGGCCCAGGTCATCCCCGTCTGTTCCTCTATCAGGCAGCTCTGACTTCAGGAACTCCAACAGGTATAGGCAGAGGGCAGGGAAGGGAGGACAGTGGAGGGTCTTGGGTCCTGACTCCACCTACCTCATAGGCTGCAGCTAGTATTGGCGGAGATGGTGGCCACAGAGCGTGAGTATGTCCGGGCCCTTGACTATACCATGCAGAACTACTTCCCTGAGCTAGATCGACCAGATGTGCCCCAGGGCCTCCGTGGCCAACGTGCCCACCTCTTTGGCAACCTTGAAAAGCTTCGGGATTTCCACTATCATTTCTTCCTGCGTGAGCTAGAGGCTTGCACCCGGCACCCACCTCGAGTGGCTTATGCCTTCCTGCGCCATGTAAGTTCCATAAGTCACATGAGCCCTAGAGTGCTTCTGGACACATACTTAGTATAAGGTTCCATGCAGAGAGTTCTGTGCCTTACTGAGTACTGCAGGGGAAAGCAAACTGATACCAGGGTATAGCTCCGAGTGAGACCCACAGAAATCCCTGCTTCTTAGTGTGTTTTCAGTTAAGTAGGAGAGATATACAAATAAAGATTATTCCAGATTACACTTAGGATGGGAATAAATAGGAAATTGCCTATGAATTACATTTGGGCAGGGTTCCCAGTTTAAAAGAGAGATGCTTAAGTAAAAGCCAGAAGAGGGGCAGAGTTCCACCCCCCAGAAAAGAGACCTAGTGGGTATCATGAGCTTGGCTGAGTATAGTGAATACCAAAGTGATGGTCTCAGAACCTTGGGAGGGGCAGAGCTGAATGTGGAGGCTGTCTGTGGAGCCCAGACAGCTCCTGTATAGCATTGATTCTTGCTAGATTATAGTCATTCCAAGTGGGGTCTGCAGGGGTACAGAGAAGCTCCTTGTCTGAAACCACTTACTAGCATCTTTGTCCTATTAAAGTTAAGAGAGTGGTGTGGTTGAGATGGGGGATATCTTTTGGGAACCAATCCTCTGGTACCTGGGCTGAGCCATGTGTCCTTATAGAGGGTGCAGTTTGGGATGTATGCACTCTACAGCAAGAATAAACCTCGTTCTGATGCCCTGATGAGCAGTTATGGTCACACCTTCTTCAAGGTAGGAGTCTGTGACTATATGAAGAGCAGAGGATGGGTGGCATACTCCAAAACCATTTGGTGATCTCCCACTTATGTGGCAGGAGAAGCAGCAAGCACTGGGAGACCACTTGGATTTGGCTTCCTACCTACTAAAGCCCATCCAGCGCATGAGCAAATATGCCTTACTACTGCAGGAGCTGGCAAGGGCATGTGGGGGCCCGGCACAAGAGCTGAGTGCCCTTCAGGCAGCCCAGAGCCTTGTGCACTTCCAGCTCAGACATGGCAATGACCTGCTAGCCATGGATGCCATCCAGGGCTGTGATGTGAGTCATCCCAGGCCATGTGGGTTAACACCTTGGATACTACAGGGCCGGGGGTGGAAGTGGATAGACATTTACTGGGCTTCAACTTTGCAGGTTAATCTCAAGGAACAAGGTCAGCTGGTGAGACAGGATGAGTTCACAGTACGGGCTGGGCGCCATAAGTCCTGCCGTCGTGTTTTTCTCTTTGAGGAGCTGCTACTTTTCAGCAAGCCTCGTCGTGGGCCTGCAGGTGTTGACATATTTACCTACAAGCGTTCCTTCAAAGTAAGTCCACATGACCCTGACCTCTGCCTCTAGCCCCCCATCTATGCCTCACCAAGCTTCTTTCCCCTGGCCATGTAGATGGCAGACCTTGGCCTCACTGAATGCTGTGGGGAGAGCAAACTGCGCTTTGAGATCTGGTTCCGTCGTCGAAAGGCCAGGGACCTGTTTGTGCTGCAGGCCTCCAGTGTGGCCATCAAACAAGCCTGGACAGCTGATATCTCCCGCCTGCTCTGGAGGCAGGCTGTCCACAACAAGGGTGAGTCCTTGTTCATGCCCAAAGAGTATGTGTCCTCCTATGAGCCTGAGAAGGGTTTAGGGTCCTTACACACTCTTTGGAGAGAAAGTAAGGCTCCTAGAATGTACCCTGGGACGTCTAGGGACTTGGAAAAGCTTGGGAAGAGAGAGAGGTGCAACAGCAGTAGACAGTGCAGGGGAAGAACAAAGTTTTCTCTTGAGTATCAGAGGTCTTATGCCCTAAAAGGGACATCATGGTAACTTTCCCAGGGGTGGTTGGGAGCAGAGAGTCTGGCACCAAGGAAGGACCATGGCTTTGGATGGCTAATTTCTGGGATAAGGGTATATAAGAAAAACTCATTAGACACAGCTCAGGGGGCCTCACTTATGCCTTATTCTCTACTCAGAGGTGCGCATGGCTGAGATGGCATCCATGGGTGTGGGGAACAAGGCCTTCTGGGACATTGCCCCCAGTGAAGAAGCTATCAATGACCGCAACATCAACTATGTCTTAAAGAGACGAGGTAGTGGGCATCCTACAGGGGGTGGGAGTGAGGAGGCAATGTGGCCTCTTGTCACTCCTGGCCTGTGCTCCCCTGGCTACCTCAGGCCAGACTGGGCTCTGATCTGCCCCCTGGTTCTCACACAGATGCTCGCTCTAGGGCCTCCATTGCTGTGGCACCATTTGACTATGACAGTCCCTATCTGGGTGCCTTGGGCTCCCTTCCTGGAGACCGTGCCTCTTGTTCTGTTCTGGGGTCTCTCAATCTGCACCTGTACAGAGATCCTGCTCTTCTGGGTGTTCACTGGTCCCTGTATCCACCCAACTTCCCTGAGGAAGCAGCGCTGGAAGCTGAGGCGGAGATGGGTAACCAGCCCTCTTTAAGTATGTGTGGGCGTAGACTTAGGGGGCATGGCTCGGGTCTGGGCCTCCCCTGCTGACAACCCAAACTTCTTCCCTAGCACCTGAGGACTCTGAGGTCTCATCCCAGTGCCCATCAGCCAGTGGCTCTAGTGGTTCTGACAGCAGCTGTGTGTCAGAGCAGACCCTGGGCAGAGGCCTTGAGGACTTGTCATATGTGAGTGCCATTTTTTGCCTTATGCCTACCAGCCCCTCCCTAACCTACCCTGGGCTATAGCTGCCTCTTATTTAGGGGAGCTGGAAATGGGTGGGTCATAGTCATTCCCCAGAGGAAAGGCTCTACTAGTTCTCTAGAACAAGATAAGCAAAGTATTCATCCTTGACTTAACACCATAGGTTTGAGTCCTGCTTGAAGATGAACAGTAGATACCAGAACTCCAAGGAATACCATACCTCTGAATCTACTATAATAGTTCGTGGCTGGCTCCTGGGCCAACCCCCTTCCCACTCCTTATAACTAATAGGAATAGCCTTGTTGATTATCCTCTCTGATGTCTGTAACTACCAACTGACTTGCCTAGGGCCTTTCCAAGGGCATCTAGCTACAAAGCCTAGATAAGCTCCTGAGATCCTTCTCCTATCCCCTCCAGCTACCACCCCAATTGTAAGTTAAGGACAGGATGGGGCAGAAGTAGAATATTTCCAAACTCTAGGCTACTAGAGTATTATGGAGCTCTCAGAAGTAATGTAGGACACAAGTGGGTTCCCAGCACCTGCTCCTCAATCTTTGAATGTAATGCTGGTCTCTAGCCCCATATAGGCCCCTTATTTTTGAATTCCTTGGCTCCTCATCTCCAGCTTCTTTTTTTGGGGGTAGCTTGGACATTTTGACTTGATGCATTTTGAACAGTTTTCAGTTAGACCTATCTACTGGTTTCACTGGTCACTGGTACTCAAGTCTTCTCAGAGGAGGAGTCTAGGCATTTGTCTTGTGATTTACTCTTTTATTTGTTTATAATAAAAATAAAGTGATTTGTATCATTGGTTGGGTATGTACATTCTGGATTTTACAGTTAAAATGATCCTTGGGCAAGTGGTGGTCTGTAGGACCAACATCTCTGGGTGGGTACTCTAGCTCTCTTGTAAATACTTGCCCAGGACTGAGTAAGAGACAGACTTGGACAGTCCCCTCTGGATGAGCAGGTCCACGCAACGGCCATATTTTCTGGCGAAAGGCAGTGTGAGCTGCAAGGAAAGGCCTAATTTATCCCTGATTTCTAGGCCAGTTACCTATTCTAGCTCTGTGGGGGGTATAGTGGGGGGGCTCCCTCATCTGGCTAGGAGAAAACAAAGAGAAAGCCTCATTATAAGGGACCTTTGGTACTCTAGGGCTAAGCTCTGCCCTTAAGCATCTCACAATCTCACAGGGTTCTGGTATCAGAGAACTGACCACAATGACAGTAAAAAATGTGCTTCCTGATGCTTGTGTCCTCTTTCTAGCAGCAGATGCTGACTTTACCTTTATAAATAACATACAAGCTAGAGAGCTACCAGTAATTGGGCAGTCCTGTGTTTAAGGTGAATGTCATTATCATTATGTACTCAGTTATAAAAAGTCAGGTTACTGAGAATTTGCTAAATCTTTCACACATATAATGCTGAAATTATTCTACAGAATTAGGAAAGAAACAAAAATTAAAATCTCAATTGGTCTACAAAATTAGTTAAAGCCCAAGCTGACAGTGTAGCTAAACTGTATCTCAAGTTATAAAAGTGAGGCAGCTGGAATATGAGTACTTGCCTGGATTCAATGACCTGTAGCAAAAACAAAATAAATGGGGGTAGGCAAATTCTCAAACCTTAACCATTCTTTTGCTCTTTTGTTTTCTTTAAATGTTTTTAGCCAAGCATGGTAGTATAGGCCTTTAATACCAGCACTGGGAGAAAGAGGCAAGCTGTTCACTGTGAGTTTGAGGTCAGCCTGACCTTCATAGTGAGTTTGAGGACAGCCAGGGATACATAGGAAGGCCTATCTCAGGCCTCTCCCAAAACTCCAAAAATGCTTTTAGGAAATACTTTAGGGGTTGGAAGATTGCTCTGTGGTTAAGAGTACTAGCTGCTCTAGCAGAGAACTGGGGTTTGGTTCCCAATATCCCCATGGTGGTTCACAATTGTAACTCCTGTTTCCAAGGGTCCAACACCTTCTCCTGACCTCTGAGGGTACTGCATGCACACAGTTCACAAATATGCATGCAGGCAAAACACCCATACATATAAAGTAAAAACAAATCCTAAAAAAAATATGTAGAGGAGCTTAAGTATAAAAAAATGATGATATCATAGCTAAATAGGGGAATTAGCTATTACTGAGTATAAAAGCCTAACTCCATGTCCATGTGCTTGAGTTAATATGTGCTTTCCAAGTAGGCCAAGGGTTGTTAGTAGTGAAGACATAGTGGTGTCATTAGAGGAAAACTATAAAAACAAGTTTCTTCAATGTTGCTTTTTTTGACTAGTCTTGATTGGTTAATTTCAGCCATCTACCTCCATGGGACCAGAGACCACTGACTTAGCTGGCTAGCTTTCTAGATGACAGTACTGGCCTGGCAGCAACAGTATCCATATTGACAGAGTTGCCATTCCCTATACAGGGAAGATAGGCCTCACCTCTACCCAGCTGTACAGACGCTCCTGAGTGTGTCGGTCATCCTTGAAGCCAGTGATGGCCAGCAAATCCACCACAAATTGCTTGGGGCTGATGTTCAGCGTCTACCAAGAGAGTCTACAGTCAGGCAGGGCTATCTATGACCATCTTCTAGCTTCTGCATTCTTATCTCTGCCTTTCCAGCTACTCTTTTTTTGTCCCTGACTTCTTTCCCTCAACCTCTTGTGTTTTTGTTTGTTTGTTTGTTTTTTCTTATTCAAGACAGGATTTTTCTGTGTAACAGCCCTGGCTGTCCTAGAACTCGCTCTGTAGACCAGACTGGCCTCAAATTCACAGAGATCTGCCTACCTCTGCCTCCCAAATGCTGGGATTAAAGGTGTGTGCCACCACAGCCTGGCTCTTGTCTTATGCTACTTATTACAAGGGCAAGGGGATGTGTGGAGAAGAAACAGAATGCCCCAAGGCCTGTCATACATACCCATAACCTGTAGGCCAGGGACACCACCTTGGCTGTGATAGCTTTAGGGTCCTTTTGCCTGATGGAATCCAGGATGATGTCAGTCAGGAAGCGGTGACATTTCTGGGCATAAAACATCTCTTCCCAGGACAAAGAGAAACTCAGGAAAGTCACTTCTGTGAAGGAGAGAGAATAAATATATCCAAAGCTGCCCATAGATGAGGCCTTAGAGACAACCACAGGGCAGGGAAAAGTGTAGAGTTCTCAAGGGACATTCACTCTTAAGGCCTGGCTGTGGGCTCTGCATTTTCACAATCAGAGTTCAGGGCCAGGCAAGGCTTCAAAGCCTCACCTCGAGGTTGGGGGCTGGCTGTGAGTGATGTATGCTTGATATTATCCATCTGGGTGGTGTAGATGATGCTGTCTTCAAAGAACATGCAAGAGCCATCACTACCCACCACAGGGGGGTGAGTCACTTTGAGGATGGCCCCTGGGTTGTCTATCCCATTAACATTAGGCAGAGGCTGCTCAGGGGCAGGATTTTCTGTGAAAACAATAGAAGAGGTTCTTCTTAGGTTTCGGAGCCTAGACTTGGAATCCAAGCAGAGAGTCTTCTGGTGACAGTGAGTACATTCATTCACTCAAAACTTCAGAAATATCTCACTTTTTGGAAGTGGTACTCTGGCCATGACTGTTTTGTTGTCCTGGTATTGTTGTAAGCTCAATCCTAAATTTCAGACCTCTAAGAAACTTCAAGTTAAGACTAGTATCCTCATGGGAGACCTGCCTGTTCCTAAACAGAATGGAGTAGGAGTGGATTGGTGAGTGGAGGGGGAGGCAATAGGAGGAGGGGGGGGGGAGCTGCAGCCAGGATGTAAAATAAAAATAAATAAATAATAAATTAAAAGACTTGTATGAAATATGACCAGTAATAGCCCAGTGGAAGACTTGGAAGCTATAAAAACTAAAAAGGGTTCAGACCTTTCTGGGAAGACCTTCATGTTTCTCTATTCTGGAAGAATAGAATGTGACCCCCAAAGCTTTACAAGCAAACTTACGAGGCTATGAGTCACAGAGTCCACAAAGGCACCTCTAAGCAGGGCCCAGGTTACTAGAATGGAAGGTGATAAGAGTACCAGAGTACCATAAGAGGGAGTTCTGGAGATGGAGGGAGTAATCCAACATGGCCCTCCTCAGCAAACTTCCCTGGGTTTTCTCCCCCATTGCAGGCCACAAACTGTCTTAAGCTCAGTCCCCATAGGCCTTCCCGGATGGGCCTTAGCATCTCACATGTCATGTGTACTTTTCCCGGAGTTCTATAGTTTCTTTTGTTCACACACTTGTTCACCCTTCCAGTTGCCATAGCCAACCTAGATACCTGGCCTCTTGGCACCTTTGTTTTCCTGCCTTCCTCTACTGTTAAGCTTCCTTTACTTAGTCTGGAATGCACCCATGCTGCTGATACTGTGCCTCCTATGACCCTGAGCAAACTTCAGAAACCTATGACCCTGAACAAGCTTCAGAAACGTACACCTGATCATATGCTCCCCTTTAAAAAAAAATCCTTCATGGGTTGTCCATTCCTATTAAGGTCAAAACAGAACACCACATCTGAACTTGACCCACAAGACCTAGATAGCCTGATGGCTCCTGTCTTTGGTGCCATTTCTACAGCTTGTGCACTAGAAACCAGGCTTCCAGCTAAAGCAGTAAGTATTCTGTGCTTCCACAGACACCCTAAATGTTCTCTCCCTGCTGGCTGCCCAGTGACGGGCTTCATGTGTTCCTATTTCCTGGGTTCTTCTTTCACAAAAATGCTCATCACTTCACCTTATGTGACCACTCATTTCTGTATGTGCTGCCTGGCACAGAGCTGGTATCAATGACTAGGAGGTTCTGGTTCCTACTCTGTCACTCACTCTGTGGCCTTAGCCAGGAAATCTTATATCTGTTGAAAATGAGACTTGGGTCAAGGATGGGACAAAACTCACCTCTCTCCTTGGGTCTCTGTTTGCCCCACTCCTTTAGGGTGACAGCTCTTTTTGTGGGGAAGTATGGCTTAAAGGTCGGCTCTGGACCCTTGTCTTTCACTGCAGCTCCAGGTCCAGTCTGGGGACCAGTGTCCTTCTCTGAGGTTATGGAATGAGCTTTCCAGGAAGCTGAGGTACCAGGTTGGCAAGCAGCCTCACTTCCTGAGGGGACATGCAGGGTGGCGTCCTCCAAAGAGCTGCCCCGGGAGGCTGTCAGTGGCTGGAATTCCCACTGTTTACAGTTGACCATGTCCCATTCCCTTACCAATGATATCAGTTTTTGCATGGGAGTGACAGGAGGGTCTTTGGCATCAGATTTCTGTGTGAGGTTTATAGTGGTGCACTTCTTCTTGGGAGGACTCTCAGTGTGACCTCCCCAGTGTCTGGGGTTGGCACATAAGCCAGAACAGTGTGAGTATGTGCCGGGATTACCTCCCCTCTTGGCATTTCTGCATAGGGAGACCTGGATAGTTCTGGTATACTGTTCAGCCTCTTCCATCTGGCTGGACCTGGCCAGGTTCCCTTTGGCCTTGTTCCATGGAGTCCTGTCATTGCAATCTTGGAAATCCACAGGCATGCAGGTTGTGGTCTGGAAAAGGAGAGGCATAGTAGCTATGAGCCTGTTGTACATTATCGAAGTCTCCCCAAAACCTAATAAGCTGGGCTTTAGGACAACCTGTTCACCCAGAACAATCTTATTCTCTGAGATGGATCACTGTATTTACTCAGTCTTTGAGGGAATGGTACCAGCCCAGGCAACTTTTATATTCCAAAAGGAGAGATTATCATCCCAGGCCATAAGTGGCTAGCATAATTCTATGCCTCCTAAAAGTTCAGAAATAAGCTCTTGTACTAGTGACAAGGGACAGGCCTCAGCAGCTGGGCTTGTCCCTTGAGCCCTGTGGTGGTGATGTTTGAGTACACCACCAACCAAAGAGAACTGGGACTTACTTCCTTGGCATCTCTACTGAACTCAACCATTGACCCTGTCCCTTCTGTCACCACATGCAGCTTCCTAATAGGAAAAGCTTCCTCATTTTCAGTTTCTTTTTCCTGAGTCCATGACCTACAGAGACCAAGAAGGATTGGTTAGTGAGAGGAAGCTTCCATCAGCCCATCAGCTAATTGGCCAGTCCTGTCCATTGTCTGGGAATTAGTAATTATAGACAGTGGGGGAAAAAGAAGCCTTTAAAGGGTTTTGCACAGGACACTGGCTGATACTGAGCCCATTTCACTATCTTCCTCCCCCAGCTATGAGGAGAGGAAGTCACTCTGGCAGGTGAGAACATTCCTAAGAGGAATGTGTAGAGGTCTAGGTTCCAAACATGGGATCCAGAGTGCAGTTTGCTTACTTGTATGCCTCACACTGTGCAAGGGCTTCCGAGAGGGCTGGAATATGATATTCCTCCACCTCCTGGCAGAAGAGAGGCCATTCCCTGCAAATGACAAGGAGATGGTAGATTTGGCAGGGGGAGACATGAACTCCTAAAGAACTGCCTTGAACAATAATGCCCATGTTGAAAATAATAGAACCTCATCCAAAAGGCTACAACTGAGGGTTCTCTTTGATGCAGAGAGAGTCAGCCTTAGTGGTCTCACAATCTTATTCCGTAGGTTTTCTTACTTAAATTCTGATGGCAAAAACAGTTTTCCAAGTCTCAGGAAGTTGAGAATGTGCCGGAACATTTGGCCATCACCGTGGATGAGCAAGGTCTGTCCGTAGGTGATCCAGTATATTCTCTGAGTGTTGGATAGCAGTTCTGGATACTAGAGGATGGGGTTAGACATTAGAACCAGTCCCAAGGTCTCAGATTTTAGAAAGGAGCAGGTTTTGGGATTTCCATACAAAGTGAAGAGAATCTAGGGAGAAGCACACTGCCTCTGCTTCAACTTCTGGTAGTTCCCCTACCCTCTCCTGAGCTTTGGAATTCAACCCTACCTCCTTGGTACAGGCCCGTAAGAACCAGCCTCTTCTCTACCTACATTCCTGAAGCCTTCCAAACATGCTGCTCATCACATTTCTACTGACAGAATTAGAGTATTCCTAGCAAGGAAGCTGGGGAAAGGTTCTTATGCTAAGCAGTACTGGAGGCTGTGTGAAGATCACATGACAAGCCCAAAAGCTTCAGGTAGGGAAGCCAAAGTAGGAGAGCAGCTGGGTCTAACAGTACCTTCATCAGGGTCTGCAAGGTAGTTGCATACCAGTGGCTTCCAACATAAAGCTTGATGATCTGTTGGGGTGAATATATAGTGATTCCTGCTGTCCACTCCTCGTCTATGGAAATCAATGAGAGGGAACACATCATATGACCAGAAGGAAAACTAGTAGGGCACTTTGGCCAATAGTGTTTGCATGGTAAGACTCCATACTCTCAAAACTCATATCATCTTGCCTCTCTGAGAAACAAAAACCCCAGACACAACCTCTGCTGCTCACATGCTTCCAGGAGAGTGAGATCAACTTGGAATGGTAGCTCTAAGAGTCAACTGCTGTCTTGGGTGAGGAGGGACTGCTAGGATGCTGCTCCTGTCCATCTACACTGCCAGTTCCCTCTGGTGTGTGACTGGTAATGTCCTAGGTGTGCAGCTTTTCATGTGCCCAATCAAGATGGAGCTAGGAGTCCTTCTTTTTGTATAGAATTAGGCTGTAAACTACAGAAGATAGAACTGAACCCAAGTTACTGACTTGTCTATTCCTGTCTTTCAATGTCTATTCCTGTTCTGGTATATATGGTGGTGCTCAATAAATGTTGAGTGTTGCTGAGTGATAGAAATATACCTTAAACTTACATAAAAACATGTTAAGAGTTTATTAGCAAGCTGGGCATAGTGGCACACACCAATTCCAGCACTTGTGAGGTAGAGGCAGGTAGGTCTTTGTGAGTTTGAAGCTAGCCTTGTCTACACAGTAGGTTTCAGACAGCCAGAGTTACATTGAAAAACCCTGTCTCAAAGAAAAGAGTATTAACTAAAACAATATTACATTTGGACTAACTTAGACCCTAGTTTGACCACTGTGTAATTTTAATTTGAACAAACTTGTTCTTTGCCTCTGCTCCATTCTAAATGGATTCATGAACCATTTCTTCCTGACTGACTGACTGTGAGAAACAAATGGCAGCTCATGTTAGCTCCCAGGACTAGGGCAGGCATGCTCCTGGGAATCTGTGCAGTCCCAGATACAGTATCCCTGTCTGTAACTGTGACATACACTGTGGAGCTGAAGGTGAGGAGAGGACTTGTAGCATGAAAGGTCATCTACCTCTCCTTTTTCTTCCATTTATACTTCTTGGTTCTGGCCCTCTTCTCCTTTCCTCTCTAGTCTCTAGTCCCTCCTTTGATGCTAATTTCAAACACAGAAGCTTTACTGTAAAGTAAAAATTTACTGAGCATATCTGTGGGTGGCAAAGTCCTTGGCTCCAGATGAGTCTTCAGAGCAACTTTCATTGGTTCATAGGTGATGTCCCTCTTGTCCAGGAAGGCACAGAGCTCATATACCTCAGAGATTGTCTCAGTCAGAGGCAGCCGGCAAGTACCCAGCCAGTTCCTGCCCAGAGGAAAGCCTGTTATGAAGCACTATAGTACTATACGTTAAAGGAATCTGGCCTGTAAACCTCCTGTGATCAGGGTGTCTTGTAACAGTACTTCCTAATGTGGCACCAGAAGAATCATTTCCTTGCTTTAACTTGGTGATTGTTAAAAGAGAATAAGCCTAGACATAAGCTCACCTCTTCAGACCTATTTCAGCAAGGCCAACCAAAACCATTCAATTCAAGCCTTAAAGCTGGGCCAAAACCAAGCCACTTCCTTCCTGTCTTCTCATATAAGTATCTGCTGAAGCAATTACTAACATCCTTTGTACATAGAAAGAGTCTAAGGTATGAACACCAAACCTCTAGTCCAACCCTCCTTCAAAAGTACTTGCATTTGCCTTCTGTGACATTATAAGTGGACATGTCTGGGAGTGATGGGCCTAAAAGTATAGGCCTAAAGGTTCTAAAATGACAATTAGTTCAGGTAACCCTTTCCCCAGAGAACTGAGAATACCCACCTATCTTCAGTACTAATGAATTTTGTAGCATTAACAGAGTTGTTCCTTTTTAGAAACCTTCTATAGAAATGTAAAGGAATCCATGCCCTGGCATTAACGAGAATTCTGAGCTCATTTCTCAAGGGACCACATCCTCTGGGAAATCTGTCCTGCTTTGTTTCTTGGGTGATCACCCTGGGCTCTAGAAAGCCTCCTAAGACTGAAAAGAACCTGTGTTTGTAAAGAGTTTTACTCAGGGTACCCAGGACTCCAAAGATATGATGGTAGCCTGATAACCTCAGACCTAGCACAGGGAAATGAATGACAGAAAACAGAAAAATGGAACACCCAGAGCCTTTGAATCATGGAGAGCTTTGAGAATTGGTCTCAGCCTGATCCTCAGAGGCCCAAACCTGGTAACGATGGTGCTGGAAGAGATAAAGTAGTGAGGTACCCCAAAGACACTTTTCTCTGTTAGCTCATGGGAAAGGCTTAGGTTGTGTCCCAAGATAAGGACATCCCAAGATGGACAGAGCCCATTGTGATGTGACAAAGTGGTTTCCTGAGAGAGACTGGGACTTACTTGACATGCTGGAAGAGGACCCCGTTCCCTGTGATGTACAGTCTGCTTCCATCTAGCGTGCTCTCAATGCGAAGCTGGCCCAATGCAGAGTCTGGATACTTGACCAGAAGGCCCAGTGCCATCATGTACAATGGTTTCACAGACTCCAGACTAGCTGTGCGGACCCCCTTCCCAGGGCTTGGAGGAGGACAGGAGGTCCGGGAACAACCACCTGTGTTGGGGGAAAGAGATGACTCCTAGATCTTTGATCATACCCAAACTGAACACTGTGGGTCTTCCTGCTACCTCAATTAGGTTTTAATTGGTGAGATGGCAGTTGTTTGCTTACATAGTTTAAATCTGGATCACTTCAGTAGAACTTGGTATACTCATTAGTTAAGAGGTTAAACTCAAGAGAGCTGACAAAGCAGGAACACTGAGCCAGCTGACAAGCTTCTAGAAGTTTTCAATTTTTTTTTGAAATAGGATCACTATATATACCAAGCTGTCCTCAAACTTGTGATCCTCTTGCCTATCTCCCAAGTACTGGGATTACAGGTATGTACTACCATGTTCTTCAGCCTCCTGCTGGAGGATTGTCTTGTCTTATTTCCAGTCTTCAGAGCATCCCTATCAGCAGTCTGCAGATGAATGAACTGTATTCTCAGCTTTGCCTGACATTGTGGCTTAGGGAAAATTACCAGTAACTTCAGAGTTTGGGCTGTGTCCCCTTTCAAGGGGTTATGAAAGACCCTTGGTTATGATGGCCTGTGACACTCTCACCATATCACAACACCCATGCTTTCTGATAACCAGAAGCTGTTGGGAAAGGAGCTAAACTAGCATTCTTCTTAGTAAACTAGAAGGTCCTGGCACAGGTTCCTGAGACTTGCTACTAGATGCTGCTCCTCCCATACAGGAAAAACATTCCATTAGCCTGGGGAAAGGCTGAGCCTCATTCCACAGGGCAACCATACAACTAGGCCAAACTTCACATGTGTAAGACAGTTCCTTATTTTTGTTGTTTTGGTAACTCTGTTCATTGAAAAGGTTCTACACATTCTCAAAAGGCCAGCTTCCCTCCTTATTCCCCCTATGTCTGAGTTTGCCCCGACCCATGAAGCTAGAGCCTCCTGAAGCACACATGATAGTTTCCATGGATGTGCAGTATGAGCTGATGAAAGGCAAGTCAAACTGTGAAGAGGAACAGCTGGACTGAGGCAAAACCAGGCACACAAAGGTCTGACCTGGCCAAGGGTCAGACAATGTTAGGAAGAAGCAGAAACAGGCAGAGAAGTCAAAGAATATGAAATGAGGTGGGTGAGGGGAAGGGACATTGGGCAAAGGATAACTGAAGAACTGATAAGAAACTATGCCCAGTCATTTCTTTTTTAGCTGTTCCTGGAAGAGGAAAGATGGGAGTCGCAAGTGGAAGTCTAGGATTTCCACAGAGGAACAGATAGCACCTGCCTAGCTTGTCCTCAGGTCCAGCCGGCTTCTCAGGACATCAAAGCCTGGTTTCCCACTCAGGGTGGGAGCCTCCTGTTCAAGGCTAAACAGGCCTCTCTTTTGCCCTGGCTTTGGGTGTAATGCTGAGTAGAGAGGACATACAGAATTTTAAGCCAAATTCCTTTTCTCAGATTCTAAGTCAAGTCACAACACTTGTTTCTTACTACCATCCAAGTCTAAAGTGGCTGTAAGGGGAGATGTTTGCTCTTGGCTTCTTAGCTCAAGCTCAGACTGTTCTAGACTATCAAGGGGAAGACAAAAGTTCCTGGGCAACATACCTATATTCATCCGGTACAGCCGTACAGCTTCCGTAAGCTCAGGGATTTCCAGAATTTCTACTTCTGCTTCTAACACATCTATATTGGAGAAGTTATCTGGTAGTAAAATCTTGTGTGATCTGAGAAAATTCACTTGAAAAGCAAAGAGAAACAATGTGAGTTAAGGAAGCATATTCATGACTAATCTGTCCGTGTCCTAGCAGATTTTTAGTGCTTTGTCTTATGTTAGGATCTCCTTGTTTGGAAACAATTGCTAAAACATACCTGATTAAGTTTGCTTTGAGGCTGTGGTTTTCAAAGACCCCAGATTGCTTTGTTTTCCTGTGTCTGAATCCATGGGTGTTGCCACCCCTGCCTGGCCTGGCCTGACACTCCCAGGCCCTCTTTGTAAACACAAAGGCCTTGAGACTTACCCTGAGAGTCTTGACCCAAGAGCAGGTCATTCCAAAAGAGGGAGTTGTCCTTTTAGAGAGGAGAGGCCTGGCTGAGCCTGGGCTGCCAGGTGGTGCTTGCAGTTTGTCCCTGCTGGGTTGCAGTATGGGAGACAGAGAACCAACACTAAGTCCCTGTGTGAATCAACTCAGATATTCAGAAGCACAGCACTAACAACTTTCTAGGTGACTTTGAATCTGGATAGCTGGGCCTCAAGCATTTGGGCCCCTGACCTAACTTAGTGTTTCTTGTCCTGTCCATTTAGTTCCTTGTCTACTGCTCTGATTATTTAGATAGCAGAGAGGCTGTCAATTCACAGGCTAGCAAAGCTAGTCCTGGGGCAGTGTAGGAAGAGAGGCTCCCTTCTGGCAAGATGAGAGATCTCATCTCTCCTTAACTGGAGCTGCACATTCTGTATGATTCTGGAGAAACTATCATCATCCACCCCCTTTCTTTGCACTCCAAGTATAATGGAAGGCAGGGTAAGTAGGATCTTTGAAACAACCCTATTTCCTTGACATGGTCAGAGCAGCTGAGGCCCAGAACTAGCTAGAGACATAAGCAAAGTATGAGAAGCAACCAGTGTCCTTACCATTAACTCCTGTGGTCCTTAACGCTACTTTAAGAAGTTTCAATGACCCTTTATAGCTAGGCCATCACAAAAGAAATAGAAGCTAAGGTAGCTCTGAGCTAGACTGGGCATGGTGGCACAGGCCTTTAATCCCAGCACTCAGGAGGCAGAGGCAGGTGGATCTCTGTGAGTCTGAAGCCAGCCTGGTCTACATAGTAAGTTCTAGGACAGCCAGGACTACATAGAGAAACCTTGTTTAAAAAAACAAAACAAAAAAATTCTCTGAGCTAAGGGAGAGCCTAATGATGGGCTCTGCTTGCCTCTTGGAAGAGTATCATATTTCTACAACCATTGCTCAGAAAAGGTCCTCAGGCCGTAGCAAAAAATGGACCTGATAGATATAACTATGGGTGTGGAGAGGGTAAGAGTAATCACCAATGAAGCGGAACTCGCTGCACTCGCACTCGATCAGGGCCACTGTTTCAGCCAGCCACAGCAAGTTGTCTTCTGTCACTAGGCTTGGATACTTGGCTACTAGGTCGAGGGGCAAGAAGCAATAGTGCACTTCCTCTTCTGTATCTAACAGTGGTGTGTCCATGAGGCCCAAAGGTGCCTTATCATGAAGACCTAGAAGAGAAGGAACAGAAGGTGTCACCACCTCCCTGAGGCCAATGCTCCCTTGACCCAGGGGTCCTTGAGTTGGGAACTACCCGAGGGACAGTCTCTGCCACATGCTTCTTTCTCCCTTTTCTCTTTTCAGATGTGTGCTTAAGGTTAAGAAAGAGTGTTCTGGGAAGCTAGGCATGAAAAGATCTGTTTTTGTATTTTTGTTTGCTTGTTCTACAGACAGTGAACAGATGAATGATATGACATTTTGGCATATGTACCCAAAGTCACTAAATTCCATTATCCATGTCTCTTCTTTAAGATTTATGTTTATCTGCATGTATGACTATTTTGCCTGTGTGTATATATGTCTGAAACTGGAGTTAAGACAGTTGTGAGCTGCCATGTTTGTGCTGGGTCCTCATCAATAGCAGCTAGTATTCTTAATGCTGAGTCTTTTTTTTTTTTTTTTTTTTTAGCCCCTCCATGGTCTTTCTAATTGATCAAACCGACTTCTGTGAACTACAGATTAAATAAATGCTTTTGACTCCTCTGGAAGCCTAAACCCCATTAATAACCACGGATTCCTGATGTCCCACCATAAGTTAGCCTATATACTGCAAAGGACTTATAAACCTGAGATCACGTGGGCATCTTTGTATAGTGGCTGGAGTTAATTTGAAATGATGACAGAGACTTAGTTTTTAGGAGAGATTGGAAAACATCATGTAGCCTAAATGAAGCTAAGATGCAATGGAATGGAATGGCTCAGGGTGCTGAGTTCTAGCACGCAAGCAGCCATGCAGAGGACAGGCGGCCAGTACTAGGTCAAAAGAGATGATGGAGAAATAGAGTGAGATGATGGAGAAATAGAGACATTTTCCAGAACTAGCTCAAAGGGAGGTTAACTTCTGTTATGGTGAGGAGACAGGGAGCTAGTGACTTCACAGTGTGGGCCTACCCGTGGTTATACCTGTGAAGGCTGGGCTTTTTATTGGAAATTCGGAGGGCTTGCTGATGCACTTCCATGTTCGCCAGTAGTTCAGAGATGCTCTCTCAGCAACAGGAATGTCCGCAGGCCGCACACGGAGGTGGTGCTTCCCTTCCTTCAGATTATCTAGGGTCTGTCAGATAAAGAGTGCTGCCTTGAAAATCCAAACCTCATAGCCTACTTTTCTTTACTCAGAAATATACTATCTGATTTGCTTGGGACAGTATTTTAAAATAAACAGAAACAATCACAAAATGTAAAAATTTAAAGTTATAAGATGGCAAGGTAATAATTCAAAATCCCAATGATTGTTTTTCTTCTGAGTTTAAAGCAATTTTTGTCTTCCAATTTTATGTCAAGTAACAGAATTTTTTCCTAAAAATCTATGGAGATTTGTTTTGTTTTTTGTAACAGTCCTGACTCTCCTGGAGCTTACTTTGTAGACCAGGCTGGCCTCAAACTCACACACAACCACCTGCCTCTGCCTCATGAGTGCTGGAATTAAAAGCATGTATCACTCCACCCCAGCTTCCCCCCCCCCTTTTTTTTTTGAGATGGGACCTCATGCAGCACAGGCCAACCTCAAACTCACTGAATAGCCAAAGGTGGCCTTGTGCTCCTTGATCTCCTAAGTCTTGAGATGACAGGTTTTCCCATCTTGCTCAGCTACAGAGTAATTTCTGTTTAGTCATTTGAAACTTGATATCTTTTAGTATTGTCCTTAATAGTTCAAAACCCCTAATCTTTTATGATTGTTGTGATTTTTTTCATTATGTGTATCCATTCTCATTCTGGAAAGTAGTCTAGCAGTGAGATTAAGATATAATAAAATTCTGACACAGGGTTATATATTTTTCAAATCACTTTCACATATATTTAACTTGAGAGACAGATATGGTGAGTGTTTTACTGATGAGACAGTTGAGCTCAAAGGCTATGGAACTTGCACAAATGGTCTCCCAAGTTCAGAGAATCTTTGTTTGAATGAGCCAGTGGCCAGCAGTGGAGCACCCCACCTGAGTAAGGCAGAGCTGGGTTAGGAATCTTCATTCCACCCTTACCTGAGTACTCATTCTCCTTCTCAGTCCTGCAGGGAACAGATTACCATAGTATTAAACCAAAATTTTCTGGCCTCATTCTAGAAGATAGTGTTTTCCTAATAAACTGTCAACACAACAGGACAAGTGATCCTTTATAGGCACCATACATATGATCAGCTTTCTCCTCTAAGAACCTTGTAACAGACAGAAAGCCTTTGATTCAGTAACAACAAAAGAACCTGCTTCTAATTGCTAGCCGCTATGAATTTGCTCTTGGGATCATAAGTATTAAGAGCCATCTGGTGGTCATATATAGGAACTGGCCCTCTCATAACTGCCTCTCAAAAGCAGGCAGGCCAGCCAGAGTGGGAATCTCTGCCCCATAGGGCCTGAGGGAGGAGTGAACAATGGCAGGGTTATGGAGAGTATTTTCCTGAACACCAAAAGTAATGAAGGAGACTGCATATGTGGAATATTGGGAAGGAGTCTTGAGAAATACTCAGTGCTTTACTAAGTTCCTTCCTGATCAAAGTCAAAGAGCTCTTGGCTTGGAGAAGGGAAAGGCATGGAAAGACTGGGGAGGTGGTTCATTAACGTGCTTACTGCACAAGCATCAATCAGACCCTCTCCAGAGGCCATGTTGAATGTATGGCAGCATATATCTGTAATTCTACTACTGAGAAGGTGGAGACAGGTAGATGAATTGTTGAACTCCAAGTTCAGTGAGAGACTCTGACTCAAAAAAAAAGGGTAGTGAAAAATTGAGGATGACAACTTGGCATCCCAGACACAGGCACACATATCCACTCATACAAACACATGAACACACATATGGATATGAAAGCCAACAGTTTGTATACTATGAGGCAACAATGAGCATCAGTTACAAATTGTATGGCTCTTCAAGAACTCTGGGACTGTTTTCCCATCATTAAAAAAGGACCCAGCTTTCTGTTCTCTCCTGGCTTAGGTATGCACACAGCTTTAGCTTTCGTGTCAAAGTGTCAGCTTTCTGGAGCAGGGAATTGATCAGAGAAAGGTTTCTGTAAGAGCAAATAGTTTTCCTTGGGCAAAGAAAATTTACAACCAGATGCCAGAATGGTGACTGAATAGTTAGAACAAAGTATGCACTGTAAATGGGGAAACATATTGAATCAAGATGAAGGATGACAGCTTCAGTATTTTTGCTGAGAAGTGTGCCAAAGAAAGGAAAATGGTGAGTGTGTCTAGGAAGGACAGGATAGGGCAAGGTGAGTAGAGGTATAAGTTCAGCCACACACCTCTGCCTTGAACATGTCATTGTTTGAGGCTGAAGAAGAAAAGGCGAGAGCAGTAAACAAGAGCCAGAGAGCAGAGGATCATGCAAGCTGCCTGAGGAGTTTTGGTGGTTCTCCTGGTTAATAAAAAGATGTATTGGCTGTTTGTTTTGTTTGCTGTTACATTCCAACTGCAGTTTCTGCTACCTCTACTCCTCCCAGTCCCTCTCCCCACCTCTTCTCTGCTCTCTGCCACCCTCCATCCACTCCACTTCCCTCCAGAAAAGGGCAGGCATCCCATGGATATCAACCAAACATGCATTCAAGTTGCAGTAAGACCAGGCCTCTCCCACATATTAAGGCTGGATGAGACAACTCCAACCCAGTATGAGGAAAGGGGTTCCAAAAGCAGGCAAAAGAGTTAGAGACATCCTCTGCTCCCACTGTTGGGAGTCCCACATAAAGACCAAGCTATACAACTATAACATGTATGTAGAGGGCCTAAGTCAGTCCCATGCAGGCTCCCTGCATGGTCCAGTCTCCGTGGGTCCCTATGAGCCTAGGTTAATTTATTCTACAGGTTTTCTTGTGATGTCCTAGGAGCCAGAGGGGTGTTGGCTGGTTTTATGTCAACTTGTCACATTTGAGACTCATTTGGGAAGAGGGAATCTCAATTGAGAAAATACCCTCACCAGACTTGTCTGTGGACCAGCCTCTCTGGGGCCTTTTCTTGGTTGATGATTGATGTGGAAGGTCCCAGCTTACTGCGGGACGTACCAATCCTGGGTAGGTGATCCTTAGTTGTATAAGAAAGCAACACCTTTAATTCCAGCACTTGGGAGGCAGGTGGAGCTCTGAGTTTGAGATCATTCCAGGGCAGCCAGAATTATACAGAGAAATCCTATCTTGAAAAAACAAACAAACAAACAAAAAACAAAAAGAAAGAAGACAAAGCAAACAGAAAGCCAGGAGGAGCAACTCAGTAAGCAGCACTCCTTCACAGCTTCTGGTCCTATTCCTGCCTCTAATTACCAAGCTGAGAGTTATAAAATGAAATAAATCCTTTCCTCACCAAGATGTTTATGGTCATAGTGTTTTATCACAGAAATAAAAACCCTAACTGAAACAAAAGACTTAAATTAGGGGCTGTTACTTGAATATTTATTGTATCTCCACCCATATAGATAGCTATCCAGCCCTAGATTCCATCTTCTGCCTTTCCATTTCCTCTGCTTATTCATCCCTAAGCTTTCTCCATATATTAACCTTTAAAATCTACCAAATAATCCAAATCATTCCTATCTTAAAAAGTCAATGCTAGTTATTGCCTGTGAGATCCAGTCCGAACTTTCCTTAGCATTACACATAAGGCCCTACACAATCAATGGGAGCAGCATGAGGGCCTTGAACTAGGACAAACACACGTTTAAATTTTGATTCTGTCCTTAAATCTATCATTTTAATTCTAAGCGCATGTACTCCAACTCCTTCTACTATTCTCTGTCCACAAAGCAGGCTTTAGTGTGTGTGAGTGTGTGTGTGTGTGTGTGTGTGTGTACACTGAGGATTAAATCTAGGGTCTCATGCATGATAGGCAAGCCCCCACCACTAAGCTATATCCATTCACCTATTTATTTATTATTTGTCTCTGTGTGCACACATGCATGCCATGGCCTGCATGTGGGAGTCAGAGGACAACTTTTAGGAGTCAGTTCTACCCTTTCCACCACATGGGTTTTGAGACAGATATCAGTTCATCAGGCTTGGCAGCAAGCACCTTTACCTGCTGAGCCATCTCACACTGGTCTCCTCTTTTAAAGGGGGGGAAAAACAAACAAACAAGAGAAAGATTTATCTAGGTGTAGAGGCAGGTACCTTTGAATCCAACACTCTGAAGGCAGGGGCAGGTGGATCTCTGTGAGTTCTAGGCAGTCTAGTCTACATAGTGAGTTCCAGAACAGCCAGAGCTATATCAAAACACTGTCTCAAAAGAAAAATTTTTTAAGGAAAAAAAAAAGGTTTATTTCATCTGGTGTGTGTGTGTGTGTGTGTGTGTGTGTGTGTGTGTGTGTGTGTGTGCATGCTCACTGGTGAAGATGTCTATGGAGGCCAAAGTCCTGGGATCCACCCAAGGCTGGATTTATAGATGGTTGTGAACTGCCTGACATGGGTGCTTTGAAGCAAACTTAGGCCCTTTGCGGGAACAGTACATGCTCTTAATTGCCCAGCATCTCTCAGCCCCACCCCTACCTTAACTTCTTTTACGACAAGGTCTCATTAAAAGTTTCCCTAGGCTATGAACTCCATAGTCCAGGTGGGCCTTGAACTTGTGATCCTCTTCACAAGAAACTGGGAATACTGGCTCATACAGACCTGGTTATTATTAGCCTTTCTTTCTCACATGGGAAAGGGCCAAGGAAAACATAAGGAATTTAGTCTTCCAAGTAGGTTAAGATGTTGGGAATGGAGACTAGAACTTGAGAGTCTGGCCTTTCTTTTTTCTTTTTTTCTTTCTTTCTTTCAATTAAAAATCATTGCTGGACAGTGGTGGCAGTACGTGGGAGGCAGAGGCAAGTGAATCTCCAAGTTCAAGGCCAGCCTAGTCTAAATAGTGAGATAGTGAATTCCAAGAGAGCCAGAGGTACACAGAGAAACCCTTTCTCCTAACAAACAAACATAAATATATTTTATGTGTATATCTGTGTTACAAGTACATACCTGGTTACCACAGAGGCCAGAAGGCAGCATTGGATACTGGAACTCAAACCCATGTCTTTAGAACAACCAGTGTTCTTAACTACTGAGCCATCCCTTCAGCCCAGAGTCCAATGTCTTAC